TCTTTTTAATTATTCTTGACATGTTTGCAGTGAACAACATCAGCTTATTGTGTTCCAGCTGAATTAACCACACTTGAACTGGAATAGTTCAAAGAAGCTCAGGGTTTACAAAAATCGGACATGTTTGTGTTTTTGCGTTGTGCCCTGTGTAAGTGCTTAGGTGCATCTCAATGACTTGCAAATTAAATTTAAGGGCAAATCTCCAAAGGTTGCAGGGGTGTTTTGTAAAGCTGGAATACTTTTGCATAAGCCAGTGTTTTTCTTTTGCTTTGTTTTTTTTGTTGTTGTTGTTTTTCTGTTTTTGTACATGGGTTGAGATAAGAATTCTGGTGAAAAAGTGAGGAAATGACTTGCCTAAAATAACTGGCAAATGACAACTGAACACTCATCAGCTCCAATGACAGACATCATCTGGTTCTATTAACCAAATGAACATGCCGCAAATTGATCATTGCCCTTCATACAAATCAAATTATTAAAACCATGACCAAACCAGGAGAAAAAATAATACAAACAATGTCACACATGAAATAAACACAAACGTTTGTTGTTGCTAAGAGACAGTGAAGAAGGACCTTAACATTCAGCAGTCTGGACCACAGCACAGTTGAGCAGGCAGTGCAGGGTGAGTGAGTTTGAATAAATGAACAGTAGATTTGGTGATAGATAAGGAAGTTCACTGGACAAAATATATATATATATATATATATATATATATATGTGTGTGTGTGTGTAGGTGTGTGTGTGTGTGTCAGTTTAATAGAACACAAATGGATGTGTTACAAAACTTTGTTTTGTGGCGTTAGCATTAGCAGATGATGATGATGATAGATGATGATGATGATGATGGATAAGGCACTCAAAATGTATCCTAGCCATTCTTCTGACTGTTTTACTAGCTAAAATTATGATCTTCAATAGGTTTGGAAAGAAGTTGTCTTTCCAAAATCCAGCCTTGAGTTTATAATAATCATGTTAAATGTGTGATCTGAAGGGCTTAGTGTCACAGCGCCATAGGGTACAAATGTATTGCTCCTTGTCTGTTTAAACCTGTTGAAGTTTATATTTGATACATCCTAGCGCCAAATCGTTTTTATCAAGACAGAAAACAAATTGGTGTGTTGCCATTTAGTAAATTTATTATTAAGTACAGTTTTCGTGTATCTGTACTTTACTTAAGTAGATTTAATAATGGGTACTTTCTACTTTTACTCCACTACATTTTACAGTAAGTATCTGTACTTTCTACTTCACTACATTTCTACAAAACCGTCGCGTTACTCGTTACATCCACGTCGCATTGAGCTTTTTGTCCGTTAAAATGTGAAGTTCAGGGTCTTAAGGTGGCGCCGTAAAATCCAAGCAATAACGTGACTTAGTGTCTGTTGTCACCCATCGCCTCCACCTTTACTCGCACGCGGAGCTCCAGACATGCGCAGTGGTTTCCTCTGAGCAGGAGGAGATGTCTGTCTAATCGTCAGTAATATAATAGCGCTGCATAAACCATGAGATATGGTGACATGTAAAATCAGCAGCGCTTCGCTTTCACAGACGGTGGGGACTTCGTCCAACTTTTAGCGTCACTTGGAAGGAAAGCTTAAAGAAAGGTAAGATCTGTGGGCGTGATGCTAGCAAAGCTAGCTGTACTGACTGAGACACGTTGCATTGGCGATGAAAAAAAAGTTGTCACTCATGCG